GCAGTGAAGGAGCTGGGCACATGCCATCATGATAAGATTGTTTGGCATAGGTACTGTTATGAGTTGGTTTTTAATTGTTTCAACTGTTTGATTCCGGCAAAAGCTCATCTGTGTCAAAGCCCCAAGTCTGGCAGGGGCTGTGAAGCTCTGTATCAGCGGTTCTTCTAAAACAGCCGTGCTGCACACCCCGTGTTAGGGCCATGGACGTAAACAGATCCTTTTCGGTCAAGAGGCACAGACCCCACACAATCAAACAGTCACCCACACCGGGGAAAACGGACTGTACAAACTTTCCCATGGTCAGGACTGAAATATTCCCCTCTCCTGGGCATACAGAGAGGCTGTGTCAAAATATAGACTGCTTCGCTTCTCTGGGTGTAGAGCATGGAATTTGTGCCAAATGTGGCCTGAGCTCCTGAAATTGAACCAGCAGGACAAATACATACAATGATGGGGTTTCAATTTATTTGCTGGTTTAGGCCCCTACAATTGAAGAGAGTCTTTGTGGAAACTGCCATTATCAGTTTTAGAAAAGGTTCAGTGCTATCAAAAAAAATCCTTCAGTTTCCATTTCCTATAAAACTGCACAGGTTAAACAGCATTCAAGTGAACTAGGAAAACAGGATAAAATGTATACACTCAGGACAAAAAATGTAAAGTGAAATATCAGAATACTGTATCAAAAAATGGCCAGAACTGGAATCCCTGTGGAGTAGACATCTGGTGATTTCTTTCTGGGCTCAATTAAATATTTCCTCAAGAGTGAAGAGGTTGCTTTGAAGACCACTATCAGAAGTCTAATGTAACCAGTTCTGCTTAAATTTATTTAAGTGGCTGATAGCATCAAGGGACCTTTGATTTATCCACATCCCTCTGACTAACTCAAAAACCTAGCAGAGTGTTAGTTTTAATGGAGGATTACATGGCTGACCTCAGAGGTCATAGGGTGAGTCTCAAAGTCAAACCCATGTGTAAGTCCAAAATGAACAGCCTTAAGGCGGTACAGAAATAAACCTCTTTATATAACCTAGCAGAAAACGCAGAATTCAATAAATCTGATGATTTGCTATACTGAAAACCAATGCAACCTTCTGTTCACATCGAGCATGGTAGAATACAGACATCATAAATGGAGGTTCCTTCATCCACCTCTCACACATGTAAGAGCAGTTTTTAATGTCTCCTAATTTGCAGGGAACTCCCAAGTGAACACCTCAATACAGAGTGCTTTTCAGGAAAACACATCAGGGTTGAACAAACTAATTCCCTCACTCTGGGACAAGCAGCACCAAGTGCACTGAAATCATGTTCAAACTAAAAGAAAAGAGGAAAAAAAACAGAACATGAACTGTAAATTCATGACAAATCTGAAAAGGGAAGCAAAACTGCATGTTTTTCTATGACAGATCCCTCCCAGATCTGAAATATTCTAATTAGTAAGAAAGGTTAATTAACGCATGAAAAGAGGCCACTTGACTCATCAAGATTCAAACATCTTTGGACTCAAGTATAAGAACTGTATATCTGAAAAATCAAATCTAAGAACATTAAGAACTAATAAATGATGAAGGGTTATTATATTATTGAGGTGTTGCAGATGGATATTTATGAACTTCATCTAAAAGGTAAATTGCTTGAAGCAGACTCGCACTTAAATTTGCAGTGGATTATGGTGCTGGGTTAATTCCTTTCTAATTCTCAATTTTTCACAAGAAACTAGATTGTCTCACGGTGGAGCTGCTTGGCTGAAACTGACTCACTCCTGCAAAGCTCTCGCTCTGCGCTGCCTCTGTGCCTCACTGGAAGTCCCCAGCTCTTAGCTTCGGCCGAGCCCGTCTATACCAACTACTCTAGCATTGGTCACAAGGATTTGCTGATGCTGCAAAACAAGGTTTTCTCATCCTTACTTTAGAAGAAAGGAAGAAATCGACTTCAGGAAGAAGCTAAAAAAAAAACAGTTCCAGCGCACTATTGCCATTTAAGGACTTTGTTATATTCTGAAAGTTAAGTCTACTAAAATAAATCAAACAAGCTCCCAGGGGAGTAAAGAAAAACATTCAGCCGGATCTGAGGATCTTGAAGACTAAAGAAAACATGATTAGTCCAAGAAAAAGTCTGAGCTCGGAGGCAGGCACCCTGCAGCTGCGCTTTCCTTGAAATGGCTGCTCCTCCTTCCACCGCAGGTCCGACCTGCATCCCACCCCGCACCGGGACCACGGCCTCCGCAGCGCGCTACTCTCCGGCGCACGCAAATCCTGGCCCCGCCGCGGGAGAGGGGGGGCTCGCCCGCTCGGCTCTGCAGCGCCACGGCCCGCTGTGCTGCTCGGACTTCAAGCTCGGAGCGACCCGACTTCTTCTTCTTAGCGTTTTTTAAAATGGGCCAGCGAGCTTCACCTGATGGCCGTGTGTGCTATTATGAAACTGATATTTGCATGGATAACATTTTCCACCAAGGCGCTTGAGAGCTTGAAATGTTCATTAATGCCTTCTAGGCAAGTTTACCCATAGCTGGAAAGCTAAATGGAAGACTAGATGGAAATACAATGCAGACAGCCCACACAATGCCTGCATTACAGCAGAGCCCTGTTACATAATCTGTTCCTCACACTGAGCTCCTGCTATCCACAACACTGGAAGTAAACAGAACGCAATCCTCATCTAATTCTAGACACAGAAATGACTTTGCTAATTCCTAAACAAAACTGTTTTTAATGAGCATTATGAAAACAAACAAAAAAAAAAACCTAGCACATTGCAGGCTCCAAACTCATTTTACACCCAATTAAAAAGATCTCTGAAGTTGGCACTCCGAAAGTTCCCACAGGTGTTACTGATCTGGCTGTCACCAAGCCTTGCTCTGAAGCTATACAGATCCCTTTGAAATGAACGGACTGGTGTTCTTCTGGAAAGCAGTGCATAAGATCACTGAACCACACAGTTGAACAAATCTCTACAGAGCTTAACAAATCCCGCTACATAAGGGCACTATCAAGCACCATTTCACAAGCCCCAAGGCAGCATCCACTAGTACTGTATCTACAGTGATGGTGCCGGTTTTAGAGGAAACTTGACAGACACCCTTCCTGCTGCCACTGAGCCTGTTAAAGACGACCACTCCTTCATGGCACTGCCAGAAGGAAGAGGCCAGTTTTTGTTTGCTATACTCTGCCCAGCCTCAACTTTCATCTTTAATCTGCAATCATGTCTCACCAAGACAACTTTGTTTCACAGGATGGAAAGCAGTTTCTCATTTTTTTTAAGTGAACATGAAAAGTTGTTTAAGATGAAATACAGGTATGTAAAAGGGAAATATTCAAATGAGCATTTTCACATTTCTTAAAAAACTCACTCCCATGTGACCAGGGATCACTGACGTGCCAGCACAGATAATGTGCAGTGCCAATTTTGTTACTATCCTTTACCATATGTCTTCTACAAATACTATATGTACAGTAAAGCATATAGTCTTATCTCTAAAGAAGTACAAATGAATGTAAAATTGGCTCTGGAGACACCGGAGCCTGCAGTTTTGATTTTAAGCACAAGTACTTCAGGGAACAGAGGATGTACATACACTAGAAAAAGTGTCTTCCGATATAAATGCCTGAATTTCTATGCGTTTTTTATCTGAAAACAGGGGCGGCTCAGTTCAAGTGCCACATGGAGGAGAGATATGGATCTCACTAACAGCCCTTAACCCAGCAAGAGCCACAGGCTTAGTACACATCTGCGGGCCGCCCAGAACAGACGGGGGTGCTCTTGGTGTCGCGAAACGTCACCCTGTTCTTACACAGCTCCGTCTGTCATAGAACACCTGCGTCAGCCAAGAAGCAGCACAGCCTCGAATCAGGTCATCAGTCTGGAGACTGCAGGACCTACAGTAACCATGCAGATGCTAATCTTTTTTGGCCACAAGCGTTAAAGAATTCAAGCATTCAAAATCCACCTGCGCTCACTCACTGTCCCAGTTTGCAGTTCAGCTGGATGAATAAACAGCTGAACATCTCCCCGGCCTGTCACGATATATCAATTATTAGCGGTGTTTTATTACTCAATTCAAAAAACAAAACAAATGAAATTATGAATAAACAGCACACTAAATAAAGTGAGCCAACCCCAGACTCATTGTGGGCCAGCTCTATGCCTTGCTCTCCGCTGGGCAGAATACCATGTTTCAAGTGCGCTGTTTATCCATTGTGTCTCTGAGCGTGGGTGTACTGATGATTCAATTTGTGCAATCAAAACTGCAGATAATTGAATGAGCCGCAAATATATGGCACCCGAGGCAACTGTCTTTGAAGCATTAATGATTCCTAAACCCTGGTTTAAAATATAGAAGATAAATTTTAAATGTTATAAAACAATGCTCAAATGGAAGCCATTGGCAAATGACAGAGAACACAACTGCACCTGGTGCTGAGCTGGCTAAGTGCAGCTCATTATTAAAAAGGCAATAAGGCAGATGAGCCAGATCTGAGTTTACTGAAGGATAATCCTGTTTTCCCCAAACTGCAGGTCTTTGCGTTAATCGTGGACAAAAGAAATATACAGTACCATTACTGCAGGAAAGTAGTAGATAAAAGACTGCTATGGTGCTGTACCAGAAATGACAGACGGTATTTTTATTAACACAATTGTGGGTTTGAAATACACGCTGTATTGCACCATACGCAAATGAATGTAAATATGATGAAAATAAATGTACCACTCGCCACTAAATTTCAGAAATGTTCAATTTTAGAGCAATAACGCACATGAACACACTTAAAACACAACCAAACACATGCACAGTGTAAGAGCTGCGAATGGAACTATGGGCTTTAACGAGGGAAGAACAGATCTGCCTGTCCATATGATGAAAACATTTAAATGAAGGTGCACATCTTCTCATGAATACAGTAGGTGTGAACAGCCTGCAGAAATCATGAGCCAGCAGATACAAGGGCAAGAGATGCATGAGTCAAAAAGCAATTAAAAATCAAGGCCCTCCCTCTGCTTACCTGCACCTGCCCTTTGCCCATGATCTTGTCCACAATCTCATTGTCGTCCTTGTTCAGCTTGGACTTGTCATAACACTTCTCATAGCACAGTATCCGCAGGCACTGGGAGCCCTCCAGCTCGATCTCGAACTCCTGGCAGACAGGACAGGACAGGACAGGAGAGGTCACAGGCTGGAGGACACAGGTTCAATCCTACTGCACTACAACCACCATCACCCTGTTTGTTTGATCTTGAACTCATGCTTTCTTGCCTGACTTTGAATACCTACATCTGATCACATCATCGCAGCAAAGAAAAGAGACCTAAAACTCACAAAACTTTTCAATGTTTTCTTTGCAAGTTGCTGTTCTTCAAGAATCACCCAGCAGGCTGACCTGCAGGTACTGTATATTAAAGCTCAGGGGGGGTTCAGGACACGAGATCAACGAGACCGATATCACGGAAGGAAGACGGAACGACGCATTTTGGTTTCACCCCCACTTGATTTGGGGGAGCTCAATCAGGCCATGTTAACACGGCGGAGGGAACCCCCACGCGGGTGCTGGGGTTTGCGGGGGAGGAGAATTCCCTCCTTATACCCTCGAACAGGGGCAGGTACAGTAACTTCAATCTGAAAGCCAGAACCCTTTGCCGTTTAAAGCACCTTTCAATTTTTAAGAAATGGAAAGAACAGGTAAATTAACCTTTTATCCTCTTAATTAGTCCAATTAAGTTACAGTCTGAGATGGAAGGAATGCCAGTAGCAAACGCAGCACTCAAGGACTGGAGCTGCCTCCCGCTGGGACCCGGAGACCAGACTGACGGGGAGCTGGGATTCGTCCCTCTCCCAGACGTCAGTAACGCAGAGTGAAATTATAGTAGCAGCGCTGTGGTGTACACGGAGGCGTGTTGGTACACTGTACAAGCCGTGGGAAACCAGAGCCAATAATCGCATGGAACAATGCGAGGCAAAACCAGGAGAAAGGAACAAGTAATAGGTTTCGGCCGAAACGTTGCGTTTTCTTTCTTCTTTTTTTCAGCATGGAATAAACCTATTTACTTGTTCCTTTGCAGCATACGCATGCTGACGCAGTCTCCCACCAAAACCAGGAGAAAAACATCCTATTTACTGTTGAGCTTTTGTAGTGCTTTCGTGACTAAATCTGTGAGGGCAGCGTCATGTGGCGTCTCCGTTTCTGGCAACAGGGGGCAAAGGGTAAAGGGTAAAGGGCACGGGGCGCCTTTAGAGCACGGAGCGTCTCCTCCAGTACAGTACAGTACCTCGTTCCACTGGGGCTCCGTCGTGTCGCGGAAAACCCGCGTCTTGGCTTTGCTGACGAAGTACCCAAAGGAGTCAACCTCCAGAGTGCAGTATAGGTCTGGAAAAAGACAAACAGACAAAGAATTGGTGATATCAATCATCCCCCCTACAATAGTAAGGCCATCTTTCAATACTCAGTGCTGTGGTGGGAATTTATTTTCCAGCAGGTTCGTGCTTTTGTTTATATTTACTGTAGCTTGGCGGTTGTAAAATTCAATTCATTTTTCTGGCCTCCGGGCACTGAACCAGTGTCATTGTTCTTAAATATTTATTTTCCACATACATGAAAGCATCACTTGGGAACTGTGAACAGCAAACGGTTTCTTGGCAGGCCACATGCTGAAATGATGGAGAGCTACAAGATATGGCCTTTTGACATCTGTTAGACATCTCATTACTGTACAAGTTATGGGAGGAGCAAAGCCCGAACAATGGGCACAGAATAATGTTTTCAAGGGATACAGACGCAGTTTATTCGTTTACAAGGAAAGTTACCATTTGAAATGTTTCCCATCTCCTAACAGTTCAATTCCCACAGCTATCTACAGTACAGTATATATGTAATCATGATTATTGCTGTGCAAACCGCAGGCATTTTTTAAATTATGAAGCATGCTGAAGCCTGAACTTGGTTGACAGAAGGGAAGTACCAACATAAAGAGTGTGATACGCACAAATGTAGCAATCTATAAAACCACTGGTATTTATCTGGTGAGTTAATGGCTCTCAGGAACATGTTAAATTCCAAAAAAGGCGAGCTGTATATTAGACATACTGTAGTGAGTTTTTTAGTCATAACTCATTTCTGTAAAAAATCTGCTACCCATTTTTTTAAGTTTCTCTAATGGTAAATAAGTAATAAAGACAAACTAGAATACACAAACAGGCAAAACAAATCTGCTTGGATACAATGGCATTTATGCAACATAAAAGGAAAAAACGTTTGACTAAGCATCATTTTTAAGAAAAGAATACACACAATTTTTGGGATTATCTTTTATTTTAAAGATGATCTTGTTGTGACAACATTGACAGTGCACATTCATTATAATAAAGCCACTGGTCTTGGGTTAAGCCTGCTACAGACCGCAGTCTGCCTGGATGCACAGACGCAAGGCATCCCCAGGAGTATATCCCGGACAGGACACCAGTCCATCACCAAAACCCCCAAGAACATAGAGAGAACATGCGCGCTCCACACAAAAGGGTCTACGTGGATATTCTCAACCCAACAGCTATGAGGCAGCTGTTTTAATTCAACATAAAATAAGATTCAAATGTATATACTGCCGTATCGTATAGCACCATAAGCATGAAGTTCTGTGCATATCACTAAATAATTCTATTGATTTAAACGATGGCCTTGCTGTGAGCACTTCTTGGCACCTCACAAAGTCAGTAGATTCTGAGCATACTAGTTTAATATATAATACAATAAACAGAAGCACTGTTTGAATAGGTGCCATAAGAGTTAAATTGGCTCCTATGAAGCATTCCCAGTGCTAGTTCATATTTCAATACATTCAATCTGTCTTCAGAGTTTATATAGGCTAATCCGATGGCAAAGTATCAATTTTCATGACAAGCAGTTTAGCAATAATACAGTGTCAGCTCTTCTGAAAACTTACCACCTAGGAAGTTTAACTTCCTTTCTAACTTGCACTTTTTTAACCAATAAGATTTATTATGCTTTTCTAAGCATTTAGACACTTTACATGTTATTATTATTGCTATGAACCTAGAACCACAATGGAAACTACTTATACTCAGGGAACTCTACACTTGATTTATTTTCAAGTCCTGCTTTAAGAGCTTTTTTGTGCCTGGGAATCAAATCTCTAGAGGTCAATGGAATATTTTTCCATTTCAGTGTGGGTGTCAGCCAGCCCCAGCAAAGTTCAACCTACATTAAATCAAGATTCCCAAATAACTACTAAACGTCTACCTGATTGCTTACACTTTATTTGAACAATTCTTTTGCATCAGCCTGACACCGTTAATTAATAGTTTCATAAGTTTCACACCAAAAGGATCATCCCACGTCTGTCTTGTCTGTACAGGCATTTTTCTTGCTTATGTTAAAGAAAGCTCTTTAGCCCTGATCGCATGTTTAAAAGTAGTACAGTAAACAGGCACAGCAAGAACTGAGCTAACTAGGGCACTGAAGGAGAAGTGTGTGACTGTCCTAGTTCACATACTGACTGCTCTGATATTTCAAGTATAGAGAAGAAGAGATCTGGCCATCTTGCCCATCAGTGAAGCAGACAGCTGCTTGAGTTTGAGGAAAGCTGATATAGGCAGGCTGCTCATCACTGCACAGCTTGACTGACAGGATACTGGAACAGGCAGGAAACAATATGGTAGTTGAGTGCAATCTCTGAGAACAGAACAAACTGAATACCTGGGTTTGGACACGACATGTGTGGTGGCACTGTAAAAGTATTTGATGAGATTTAACAGAATAAACGGTATGAAAAAAAATGAGAAACTCAGCCAACACAAGCTTCCCTCATGAAACATATGGACAAAACAAATCTGAATGATAGTTCAGTCAGAATTTGTTTTATTGGTATACCTTTAAATTGCAGTCACTTTGATTCCCCTCACACTGAATAAACCACTTAGCTCCACTACAGTCTGACATTACCACAGTAAACTCATGTGTCCCAGCCATCAAGAGGAATGTGCTGGATTGGAACCAGGAACCACCAGGTAGTGGGATTTTATTCTGCTTTCTGGACAGGCGGCAGAGACTTCCTTTGAAGGAGCCACTTAGCAGGGAACGGCTTTAACCCGTGGAGGAAATAAGACTAAATAGACCATTTCGACTGGGAGGAAACAGCAGCATATCTCATCTGAAGGCGAATCCCATAAACCTGCGATTCATTAACGATTACCGGCTTCCAGGCAAACGAAGGAAGTGAAATTCTAATGTGCGCCTGGCAAGGGAACAAACAAATATCTTCAGAAACGAGCAGATCGAAAACCAGAACGGCGAGGTCAGCGCTCGTAGCCCAGGGGGAGCGGGCTGGCCGGCGAAACCCTGTGAGATCACCGCAGGTGAAGGATGAAGGACCGCAGGGCTCAAAGGGGCTGTATCCCCATTGCCCTTAAAAAGAAATGGTGTCTCGATAGAAAAAAACTCAAAATAACAGGCACTCTTTTCGTAATATGGGGAAAGTGTAAAACTGAATGGCCTCTTCTCATTTGTAACCATTCTTATGTTGTTGGACTGCTTTTAATAAGGGAAACGCAACCCCCCCCCCCTCCCCCCAAATGGAACAACGAAAAAAAATGGGAAAATAAAAACGCCCCAAAACCCTAACCCCGCCAACCGCCGGCCCGGGGAACCCCCCGAACCAAGCCCAAAAAAAACCCGGGGCCGGGGAACGTTTTCAAAAACCCCAAGAAGAACAGTTCAACTTCAACCTTCAACCGCCTGAAAACCGGCCTCCCCCCTTCCCCTTCCAACGCCCGGAAGCCGAAGAACAACCGGTGGAAAACCCCCAAGTTTCCGGAAAAACTCAAAAGAACCAAAAAAAAACAATTTCAAAAGAAACTCGGAAAGCACAAGTGGCACAAGACATTCGGGGGTCCCAGGGGTCTTCAGTGAGGGCAAGCCTGGGTCATGTCAGCAGCTGAACGTGACAATGATTTCCCAAGTGATAGCAGCCTATTGACTTGGAGCCTGTGGCGTGCAAGTTTGGGATTAGTTGCAACGGCTCTTTTGGCTGTTGGCGAAACTACTGTATGACCCCTGCAATTTGCAGGGTCTCTGCAGACTGTCAGAGACATTAGCAATGGACAGCCCCCTACTCCAATCAGCACCGAACCGCCTCCACGGTGCTGCTCTGTTTCAGTGTGCCGAAAGCGGATTGGCTCAGCGGGTGGGCGGGGCTGGAGGAGCCTGTCTGCACTTCCTCCTTCACCTCACACGCACACAGCAAACGTCGCCGTAAGTTACCAATCAGGTGGACACGTTATAGATAAATAATTGCAGATTCTGAACTGACAAAAAGAGTTACACACCAACCAGGTCATGTCATGACACCTCTACATCCTCCCATCCAAGTCAGCACAGAAGGATGACAAAAGATTTGGTGCAGAAACGCTTGATGAGACAGAGAGATATGTAAAAACAGTAATGGAAATATCAGCACACCCTAATGCATACAGTAGACTGTAAAGCAGTGATGTCGCAGTAAAAATAACTGGAGCTGAACTTGAGGGAGGTACTGTAGGACTTCACCACTGTTAGCTGAAGTGCTGGAAGGAGGAAATCACATTGAGTCAACTGCTTAGAGACCGCTTTCCGTTTTATATTTCAAAATTGTGAGATTGTTACTTCGGCTCCGACATCCCTACCCTCCATTACAACTCTCCTCGTCCGACACTCATCTCAGCTCAGATCTCAGATTTCTGCTCAACAAGGCAGCAACACCCTCCCACCTTAAAGAGCAAAGGTGCCAGTGATGCCACTTACTTTCACTTTCTAGATTTAAGAAATAAAACATCTCTCATGTGGGCTGCACCATTTATTTTAAACTCAAGACAACGGAACGGAGACCGCAATGCCTCCTATGTTTCCCTCAGCCGAAACCAAAGACCTCCTGCTCAGGTTTATCTTTAATGCAGACCATACGGGATTTACACTTTTCTCTGCACTTTGCTCTTTCCAGGATGGGATGCTGCCTGGTACTGAAGAGAAGAGAGATAACGGGGAGAGCTGTTCCGAGCTTCTGAGCTGCTGGACTGGAGAATCTGTCAAAGTCACAGCCCCTCCACGAGAGGCAAATTGGTGACAGATGAGCTGTGCGCACTGCCATGCCTCAAAGCCCACGTCTAATTAATATTGAATGCAAACCATATGCAAAAGAGTGATTAAAAAAATGAAAAGACTGACACAAAAATACAATCCAAGTAGGATCCACTGAACCCAAAAAACATTCTGAACCATTTTAACTTGCATAGAGTTTTCTTAAGTAAACGAAAACTTCTTAACGAAGCACTGCAACATGTTTGTTTATCCACAAGTCTGAGTCTTTAAAAAGTGATGGTGCGGAGCATGTGTTTGTGACAGAGCTGGGGTTCTGAGCCTGTGCTGCACCCCCCGATCCTGACAGAGGCTGACGCAACACACGAGGACTTGAAAAGCAGGCGACCACTGGCCGCGGACCCCAGAAAAGAGGCTGTGATGAATATGTGCGCCCCGAGAGAGAGGAATCTGGGGGCCTTTTGAGGAAATGGAAACATACAACTGAGGCCAGCCGTACAAACCTGACTCAGAACAACTCTGTCGCGCCAGAGCCCATAGTTAAAAGTAAGCAGATTGGTTTCCAAGTGACCAGAGCAAATGCATCTTGGCTGAGACAACAAACAGTACTGTCTGTACTGTATACACAATCCCTTGCGATTAGAGATCCTCAGTGTTTATTACAATACTGTATGTATTTCACTTCACAAAACACTACTTTCTAACAGCAGAAACTGGCACTAAAAGTCCGGGTGAATTGTTCATTCTTGTTCCAACTGGCCTCTCAAAGGACCTCAGCTGTCTTGGAGGAAAGTGTGCACGTTCTCAGCTCGCATCTTCTTTTTTTCCCCATTTATATTTATAGTTTCTGCCAAGCAGAGGTTCTGCCCACTGTTGTTAATCGTTTTATGAACTCTCTGCCACTGCTGGTAATTTCCACTTTAAAGGGCCCACAGGAATCCCATCATCGTTAAGCGAAGCTCACGATGGGATTATTCCAGGATGAATACTCTCCCCTTTATCACTGCTTGCTTATCGCAAACAGGCTGTTAGTGGCTGTTCAATACCTCAGACACAATCATCCCTGTTTTGGGGGCTTGTTAATGGCTTTACTGTGGGAAGTTAATCTTACTCACAGAGAGAAACCTGACCATGCTGCTCGCCCACTCCGCTGGTGCAACTCCACCAGCAAATTACATTCTGCTGGAACCACTCGGAGCCGAAACCCGAGAAGGTAAAAAAAAAAATCAATAGCAACTGAAAAGCTCTCTGCTAGGTGGCTCCCCTGCGCCGCAGACAGAAATCCTTTCAACTCAGGAATGCGACGCTTCACTTACTGGCAGATTCTTTAAACCCCGTGGCGGAGTGGACGATGACATGGAGGAACCCGTACAGGCCTGGAGACTCGTCATCTGCAAAATCAGACACAGAGCAGGACACAAAACGTTAAAAACGGTTTTGGGGGAAAAAAAAAGACAATGGCATTTTGCAACTTTAAACAGCTATATGCACATGAGTACAGACCCCCCCCCCCCCCCCCAAAATGCTCCCCTCTTTTGCTCTGCAATTTCAATTCCATCCAAATATGAACCACATGGGGCTGCAAGAGCTCCTTCTTCAGTGCGGTACAGGGAGAGAAAGGAAGGGGCCGACATGAAGGAGACGGGATTCTTGGGGATCCCCTCGGCAGCACATTCAGCTCAACCCTCGTTAAGATCCCGAGCTCCAGGGACACGTCTGTATTGGCAGGACTGTCCTGCTTATAGAACCGGGAATCTCAGAGGCCGTTGGGGGGAGGTGAGGTAGAAGATGGAAGTAGTGCTGTTTTATTCTTTCGACCCCCCCGGGGGGTAACACACAAGTCTCATAAAGGCCACGATGATTCTTCAGGTCTGAACTAAAGTCTACCAGGCATAAGCATCCATTCAGAAACTAATGAGATGGCAGGTATAGCTGAAAATCTGTATTTGAAGACGGCGTTTTCAGATTTAAGCCTTTTCATGTTATTATCCAATGCCACATGAGGTGCAGTATTCCATATCTAAGCTTCTCTCCCTGTCTGTGTGTCTATGTGTCTCATGGAGAGCAAGCTGGGGTATGCAAAAAGACGAATTCCTAATGCAAGAAATTGTATAGGGCTAATAAAGTGATGTTATAAGCACCAGGAAGGGCTTCCCTGCTGTACTGTATGTAAGCACCAGGAGGTGGCGCCCTTTCCCCCTGGACTGGGATTCCTCAACCAGCACACCAGTGTGGTGACCATATCAACTACCTGCCAGGCACTGCCTGGACACCGCTGGCCGTGCGTGAGTGTGCGGTGAATTTCCTCTGGAGTTTTGTGTGGCCACAGGAGAGCGAGAAGGATCTGGACCTGGGGGCAGAGCTGCAGGAGTACAGGTGAGGGACACCTTCCAGGTAAGAACAGGTTAGCTTCGCATTTCCGGTTCCTCATTGTGAGGACAGAGATGCACCACACCTGCAAAGATGTGTTAAAGAGGGGCGTCTTTCTCTGAAACTTGGATCAGGCCAAGTTCCTATAACTGGGGGCCTAATGGCAGAAATGCCTCGGTTTAAAATGTGTCTGTGGAATGAATCTTCGATTTTGTTTCCTTTGTTGTTCCTCAGTATCATTTTTAAACTTCGCCCCCCCCACCCCCACCCCATCCATTCCTAAACAGGGCCTGCTGCTGGTTTGAGCCGTGAGGTCAGCGCGCACAGGGGCTCTCAAAGTGTCCAAAACAAGCCACCGTGAATCCATCACACTGACAAACAACCGAAAATGGGGCAGATGATACCTGCTCCACTGAGGGCCCCCCCCCTAACGAAGCTCCTGCAATTTATACTTATTTACTCATCAGGAGACTAATTAGGCATGAGGCCCATTTTCCTGTTGTCAGTCTTCATTGACCCCTCACCCCCCAGGAACCAGGGAGCAGCTGTGTAATCAGTCTAGAAAACCACTTCCAAACTACATTTTTAATCCAGGGCATTTTTGTCCCTGGATTTAGCTATGAAGCCTTTGCCAAGAGTTTCTCCAGAGCTGGCTATACAAATTGTAAACAACTATTTTAGGTTACTCAGTTATACAGTTCAAAGCCCTGTGTTTGGAAAGGGTGGGGAGTCGCCTCAAATATGCCTTTGCAAGTCTTCAATCTCCAGAGCAGCTACTCTTTTTAAAGAGCTGCTTTTCCACGCGCTGCCAATCCAGCTTCAAGAACCCAATTATTGATCAATAGCGGTTTCCACCTGAATTTCAGACCACTGTGAAAAGTGTCCAACTTGTTTTCATTTACCTCGGCTCCCAAAAGCCTACGCCCTGGAATCGAAACCTGAAACTTTGATCCAGAGAATTATCAAGGACAATAACAGGATCAAAACAGACTTTACAGCACAGACGAGGCGTTTGGCCACTGTGATATTTTTTTATATACAAAGTTACATTACAGGGCTGAGTCAGGATTAATTTTGCTTGATTTGAGTGTTTCTACCACAACGACATAGTTCTGATATCTATTCCGTGTCTTGTTGGGAAAAAAACAAGTGAAAAATTTACTTTTAACAAGTTTTCATGACCTACATTCAGTTTGTTGAACTTTAGCTGAAATAACCGAAGAGTCAGCCCAACTATCCCCCTTAGATCTCTCATAAACAGTCGTCCTCAGGGATGAATGACACTATACAGAGGACACGGACCAGTGCTTATTGTTGAAAACATTAGCAAAGCGATGCTATAATAGTGCAGTAATGCCTGCCAGGTGTCTGATTTCGAAACATCTAAAATCAACAGTACGAGTTCGGTGACCTTTGATGCAAACATCCGCTACTAAAATAAAACATCTCACAGAGTATGACGACTGAGGATGGGATATGGACAGAGATGAACGTGAAATAGCAGCTGTACAAGAGATAGCACCAGGGATAAGGTGGATGTAAGTTGTCGTTTTTTTTCCCCACTGTGCTTGCAACCTGTTACAGCATATTCTCTTAATAACTGTACTCCAATGACACCACCTCAGACTGGAGATGTGCTCTATGTTTTTATATGTGCACTTAGCCTTAAACTGGTATCCACAGAGCCATGCCGAAACACCTCAACATGTTACGCGACCTCAGGGAATTAAAGACATTCCCAAGAGTAAGGAACAAAATCTATTTTGCCCTCCCAGAGGATTTATGAGAAAACGTCTCAACATAGATTTCATAGGGATTTACTGTATTAAATCCAAACACTATATTTCAATACAATGCCCAAAGCGCAACCCCCTTTAAACATTACATACAGTATGGAGCATGAACTACTCTATTATCTATTTTGAAAACAGCGGACATTTCTTTGTGGTCTGATTCATGTTTTTCATTCTCAGGATAGTTTTTTCCTAGCAAATGTGACCCCACCTCATTGCTTTTAATCCCAGCGACTCTACCACAATGTTTATTATCTGCCGGTCCAAATGGAGCCTCAGAAGAAACTGTCCTGTCAAGAGGATTTAAATCCGAATGAAATATATGGGAAGTGTACCTACCAATGGAGGGTGGCATTCCTTCAACAGCTGGTTTGTATTTCTTTCCTGATCTTATATTCTGGGGGAAGGGGGTGTTCGAAATATGCGTTTGAGGCACCATGGCGAAAAATATGCTGAAGACTTTAATGACAGTAGTTCTGTTCTCAAAACCACATGTTCAACAAGTCTTGCAAGAGTAGAAAAATGCAAAGCCGTTAACGGAGCACCCCCATGTCTGAATATGGCCATATCAGGTAAGTGAAAGCAGCTTTGTTTAACTGTGAACACAAACGGCCTTCAGTTGTGATGACTGAAAAAAACATCAAAAGCTGAAATGATTCCATGCTTGAAACTACCACTAGGAGACACCCTATACACTCTAGGTCCAAGGAAGAGAATACACTCACGCTATTGAAAGCAAATGCATGAAAAGGAATGTGCTCTGATTTTAGTACGGGACCTTAACCTGTGACTTGTTAAATAATTTATTTCTTTAAAATTGTGCAGTAAAAACAGCCTAAGAGTTTGGCATGTTACTCCCTGTGGTTTAAAGATTTGTACATACAGTATTTCTGTCAGTTAAGACAAATGTTGAAAGTGGCACGTTCCATGAAACAGAAATGCAAAATGAGATTTTCATTGCAGCCAGTATGTGACTGTGCAATTGGGGCACTTTGCAGAGACAGATGTAGTTTTGATGCTTGCAAAGATTAAACTTCTTTGAAGTGAGAAATTAAATTGCAATGCTAAAAGGATTAAAGTTCAAATTTTTAGCTGAACAATGGGCTGTTGGCCATAATTTCTCTCTAGCACAGTTGTTTCTTTTAAAGGAAGATTTTGAGCTGCCTTATTGGCTTCAAAACGTTTCAAGGCATAAAAATCAAATTACTGATGCTAAATATGAGAACAAAAACGGGAAACAAAAGTGCAATAAAACTCCCTTTAATACTCAAGAAATATTAGACAAAAACTTGTACAAAACATAAACTGAGTACTAATATTTTTACTTACTAGAAATAGAAGTCTTTTCAGACTTCAACCATTCATTTACCAGGGTTATATAAATCGGCTTACCCGATAGCTAGATCAATAGTACTTTACTAAAACGATCCGCCCGCCTGTCCTAATCACCCCAGATCACAGGGGAGAAAAAGGGGGTCACAAGGAGCTCTGACCCCGCTGTGCTCTGACCTCTCATAATCAGAACAGAAGAAGGAACAGGAGCTGTGAAAAGTAAGGTGTCAGCGTCTTCAATTTCACATCACGTAACTCTGCAATGATGTTATGTGTGGAGGGGAGGCATCCACTGAGCCTAGAACATCCCAGAGGTTTATGTTTTTGGCTTTCTCTATTTTGTGCCTACTTTACCTTTATATCTATATAAATATCTTTAAGACAACAGCGATTTTACGATTCGGAATGGTGCTTTTATTTCCATTAGGTAACCAAAACCCCAACTGCATCAGTTCATTTCACTATCATGAAATACTTTACTAGGCTGACACTTCTTTTCAGTGCATCTTACACTTGTGCCCATTCATACAGCTGGGCACTCTCCTGCAGCAATCCGATGCACCTTACTTAACGGGACAACGGCAGTCCTCATCGCTCCACCACGCTGGCGGCCTACAGCAGCAGCTGCGAAGTAAAGAGAACTTCTCTCACTTTTTAAACGACATTGCAAACTCCCACTGCATCACACATGTCTGTTCGGGGGCCCGAACAGCAACTCTTTGACTCTAGCTCCCCCTTGTGGCAGCTTGTGGCATTTGGCAGGCTGTTATTTCATAAGGAGGATGTATAAACAGTTACCAGTAATCCAGAGCAAAGGACTCACCATCTTTATTGCTGGTCACTGGGATGTTGTGAACTGTTCTAAGTTTGAAACAGGATCCTGTGAGGACTTGTAGCTCCACAGAGCTCAGCAAACAAGCCTGAAGATCTGTTAACAGGAATAAACCCACATTAATTTATCTCATAACTTAATTTTTCTTCTGAAAACAGCAAATACATATTAGCACTTGATCATGTATTTTTAATTACCTTTCTTTTGGAGCTTTTGAATGGCTTCCCTCCATTCTGACCTCTCATAATCGGAGGAAAGCAGGAATAAGTAGCTCTGAAAAAGGAGAAGTCTCTTTTATAATCCACATAACTAAAAACTCTTAAGCAGATAACTAATTAATGATCTATTGTGTTAATTTGTGCAACAAACGTATTGTTCTAGG